TTTAAAATATGATAACACATTTATAATAGCACATTTTAGATAAAATATAAACAAGTCCAGCACTTAAAAATTTATAGTGCATGGCCATGATGAACTCCAATTTTTCTTCGCAAATTTTGTTAAATTTTTAGACTTTTATTCTGATACTAATTTGGTAGTTAAAATATTAACATGACTATAACCGTCACCTGTTTTAAAATGGCTTTATACACAGTTGCACAGTGACATAACCCAAGCAATTTAGATGCAGTTACTCCCAAGTGATGTCCTGCAAATATTAAGAATATGCATAATTTTACACATGTAAACTGGCACGCTGAATTTGAATACAACTACTGAGTTTGTGAGCTTTTCTTTATCCTATAATGAAGATTTCAATCTGAATGAAAAAATTTAAGCTTATGTGTAGTCAAATAACTTTAGACATAATTTATTATGGTTTGCAGAACTATTTTTAGGGTCAGGTAACATGTTATGTCTGTGATTGTAATTTAATCAGGTATAATCAGATGCCATCATGGAGGTTTTTGAATTGCTGTGCCTATTTCCCAGGTCTCACATGTCAAAGCTGCAGGTATATCAAAGAACTTCATTGTGTCACATAAATTTCCAAAGACCCTTTAGTCATATTTCAAGGACTTCCCTCAGAAGATTATACTATGAAGGCTAAGTATCTTCCAGATATCTTTATGTCTTGAAACGCCAGATAGATAAGCTAAATGTATTCCCTTTCAATGGTCAGTGAAAATTATGTAGAAATAGGTAAATCTGGCAAGGGGTTTTCCAAAGAACATAGAAAATCATGATACACTGGACTCTATATGCAGTAGTCTAGTGTTAGGGAGGTAAAACTGAATGGATTTTCCATTCAGGGATCTTATCTGACACATTTTGCCCTGTTGGTGCCTCACAGGTTTGCAGCTAAGACAATTTGTTTCCCTTCATTTGATAGCTTTTGAAAAATAAACCTTTCTGTGCTTTTCTCTGTGCATTATAAAGCTTGATGAAACCTTAAGATTAGAGCAAGCTTTGAAGGGATTACTTACTAATAGTTGTACTAGTTTGATATGCATTCCAATTTAAGCAAGAGCGTGTATGCTGTATTCATCAGTTGGAGGAATAGATTTATTTTATTTTTAAGATGAAGAAAACGAAAAGGTATCAAAATCCATTTGGGGTTTCCGATTTCCATGCTCTCCGTGAAAGGTAGTATTGCCCATAGATGGCACTGTGGTCCTGTGGCCAGGGGCTTCTCGATGTCTGTGCAGATGTGCCGCGCTGTACGCGCTGCTGTGGCGGTGGGCTTGCCCTGGTTGGACACTCTGCCACTCCCTTCCTCAGCTAGACAGGGAAGAGAACTCACAACAAAAGGTTCGTGGGTCGAGATAAGGTCAGGGAGAGATCGCTCACCAGTTACTGTCACGGGCAAAACAGACTCGACTTGGGCAAATTAGTTTAATTTATTGCCAATCGAATCAGAGTAGGGTAATGAGAAATAAAAGCTAAATCTTAAAGCATCTTCCTCCCCCCACCCTCCTCCCTTCTTCCTGGGCTTGACTTCATTCCCGATTTCTCTGAGTCCTCCCCCGCAGTGGTGCAGGGGAACGGGGAAGGGGGGCTGCGGTCAGTTCGTCACACAATGAGTCTGCAGCTACTTCCTCCTCAGGAGGAGGACTCCTCGCACTTCCCCTGCTCCAGCGTGGGTCCTTCCCACGGGAGGCAGTCCTCCAACATGAGAGCTTCCCATGGGCTGCAGTTCTTCCTTAACTGCTCCAGCGTTAATCCTCCACAGGGTCACAAGTTCTGCCAGCAAACCTGTTCCAGAGTGGGCTCCTCTCTCCACCGGCTTCCCACAGGTCCTGCCAGGATCCTACTCAAGCACAGGCTTCCCATGGGGTCACAGCCTTCTTTCAGGCATCCACCTGCTCTGGTATGGAGTCCTCCATGGGCTGCAGGTGGATCTCTGCTCCCCCATAAACCCCCATGGGCTGCAGGGGCACAGCTGCCTCACCATGGTCTGCACCACGGGCTGTAGGGGATTCTCTGCTCTGGCTCTTGGAGCACCTCCTGGCCCTCCTTCCCCAGTGACTTGATGTCTGCAGGGCTGTTTCAAATATTCTCACTGCTCTCTCTGGCTTCAGTGGTGCAGTTCCACACCCTCCCCACCCCTGCCCAGTCTTAAATCTGTTGTCCCAGAGGGACTATCTGTGTTGCTTCTGGGCTTGGCCTTGGCCAGTTATGGGGCCATCCTGGGGCCACCTGGCGTTGGCTGTGTCAGACATGGGGGAAACTTATGGCAGCTTCTCACAAGAAGCCATACCTGTATCTTACCCACTGCTAAAACCTTGCCATGCAAACCAATACAGCTGATTATTAATATTATAGTCCTACTTCTTCGTCAAATTAATTTAATTGGCTTATTACCATTGCAAGTGTGCTGTTTCTGAGATTGAAATGTTTTTGGCCCTATGTACTGACCTAAAGAGTATACCACTTTAGTAGAAGAATGGCTGTCCTTGGAAAAAGAGAATGATTACAATGGCTCATTTTGGACCAGTTTACTGAGACAGTTAAACTCTGCAACATGTTCTTTCTTTTTGTCTAGCAAAATATTAAAAATTACTTTAGCCTTCAGCAGACAGTCAGCTGAGTATTTACGGAAAAAATAAAACCAAACCAAATTAACTATTGAAGACAAACCTCCAGTTTATAAAACAACTTGATGGCATTTAAATATTTTAATCTGCTTTACTAGCAGTGAGATCTGACAAAACAATAAAGCATTGGAACACCATTTTACATTAACAATACAAAATACAACAAATGTTTTTCTCTATGTATTTACATAAACAAACATATAGGTATTCAAAATAGAATGCATCTCACTGTCTGGGAATAATTACATAAGTACAGTTCATGGTTGATTGGATGGGATAGATACATAGGAATTTTTACCCTGAAGTGTATAAAGGATGCACACCAGCTTAGGAGATACATGGTGAGCTTCATGTCTTTGGACATTTTTCAGATACAGTCTTAACAGTAATAAAATGTCAATCTACTTGAAAAATTGTTGGTTAAAATTTTTTTCAGATGAAGTGGTTTTTTTTGGATGCAGATATGACAGACTCAGCATGCTTTTCCTGTGAGGTAGGGGATGGCCCTAACCTCTGAACTAATCTGTATGAATGAAAGTTTTCTCTTTTTTTCTTTTTAACTGAAAACTTATAAAAATTTCCATTCCAGTCTGATGTGTAATGAAAACACTCACATTTTTTTGCAAGATGGAGATGTTGTTCTGAAGCTGGTCATACTAAACTGTGGTATTCATCCCAATCGTGGGCCCAGTGCTGTAAATCCTGGTTTAAAACAGCTGAACTTTGTCATCTGTCTGCAGCATGAGTCTATTAATTGCTATCTACTGATGAACAACCTCCTGCAGATCTGGTATGGTGCCTAGAGCAAATTCAGATCCTGACTGTCATCCTCACTAAGGCAAACTGCACAAAAATCCATTAACATTTTGGTGCAAGGTGGCAGAATCAGGCCTCACTAAACTGTCAAAAATGTCCATGAAGAGCTGGAGCTATTGGTCTTTAATGGCTGTGCATTCTTGGCTTTGAGAGGCCTCTTAGGCAAAAGCTGGTGATCACTCAATAAAACCTCCTATCTGAGTGCTCACAGAACCAAAATGTCAGGCATCAGTTATCCCTGCTTCTAAGCAAAAGATAAGTGTTATATTATCTCTGACTGTCAATTAAAGAAATACTGTCAATCCTCTTAGGTCCAAAACATAGGTTTTATTTTAATAAGCTGGAAAAAAATGATTGTTCAGAGTCACTTTCTAGTGAAACATCAAGCCAGCAATTGAAACCCTCTCTGACTGTAGTGAAGTATTCCCTGTCAGTATTTGCAACCTGAGCAATTTGACATTGTGAAAGAGGAACAGAAGATGAAACGAAAGAGAAATGGCGGGCTGATATGCTCTGCCACGTAGGTGAAATGCAGACAGTAAGCAGAGAGCATAAGCTGTGATTGTTAAATGTTCAGTAACAGTTTATCAAGTGCAAGCTGGTGAAGGAGACTGTGCAGACCAGCAACTGGAGCCTCGGGAGTCTTATGGAATTGAGCCCTGGAGAAGTCCAGGGTGCCATTTTCATCATACAGTACTCAGGTAGGCTCTGCTCCCTGGCACAAATGGGCAATAGGACCCAAAAGCTGTCGGTCCCCTCTACTTCTTTTTCTTGCAAGGTCAAAGAAACTTGCATCAAGACAGGCACAAAATGTGGCAATTCCCTCAACTGGTGGAAGCCTTCGTGTTTCCTTTGCTCTCACACACAATATTTTTTTTCAATCCCCTGTCATCATATGAAGGCGATCTGGTTTGATGGCAGATCTTGAGCCTCAGGCCTCTACTCACAAAAGACCTTTGGTTTTACTACTGCCTACTTATTCCCTGAGGTGCCTGTTCCCAGGGGTAAATCCCCAAAACCATCACCCCAGTTGTGAAGTGGAGATATCTGGACACAAGGGAGGTACCTGAGTACCTGTTTCATGGGATGAACTCAACCACTTGTACTCCATCAGTGCTCCTTCCTTTGCCTGGCTGGCCTGTTGGAAATGAGCTGGCCATTGCCCTCAGTTCAAACCCCCAGATTTAGGGTCCGTATCAAACTTGTTGAAACTGTGGAAAGTCACTGCTCCCACCTTCTAGTATGGTAGTCCTCATACTCAGCTGCAGTTAGCAGATTCCTCCTGACGTCCCTTCTTTGTATGTGTGGCACCCCTCCCATACAGTGCTGTGTGGGAGCAGGATTTGTGCATAGGGAGGTAGGAGCAGCGAGTTTGTTTTTCCTTCTCTTGAAGCTGTTCAGTTTGGTTGTGGTGGTCAAGTGAACCCAGAGCCAGGGAGACCATATAAACCACCTGGTGAGCACAGCATTATACCATTTGATTTATGAGGAGATCCTAAATTACCAGTTTTGGGGGGAAAGCCATTAATGGCCACGAGATGATAGATGATTGACATGAATCACTACAACGGGGCTACAGCACGACACTTTGACCCAGACATGGAGGCTGAGGCCTGTGGAGTGAGTCAGTGTCACCATGGGCATGCAGAGCTCCTGTGTGATCAGTGCATGGTGGCTCTGCCTATCCCACGTCAGAGGAAAGGGCTCATAAAACCAGCAGATTTAGTTATACAATATGTATAACAATAAAATCAGTTTCTTTGAAATCAGTCAAATACCCAGCCAACTTTTAAATCCTTGTCTGCCACAGATCAGTATCTTAAGCTAAAAATCTTCTTCCAAAGACTCCCAGCTGGTAGGCTACAATCAGATTCGGTTTCTGTCTCTCCCTTTCTTTGACTTAATGGAAATTTAATTGTTCTGTGAAAACTGAAAACTTCAAGGAAATGACTGATAAAGGTACTGGAGTTTGATTTCTGTATAGGCAGTGTTTTCTCCAGACAAACTGGAATACATCCTGGTTCTGAGGTGAAATTATGGCTGCAAAATTCATGGAATGAATCAAATGCTTGGATTTAAGCTTTGTCGGTGAATGCAACATTTATATTTCTCCTCTTCAGCAAAGTCCCACGGGCTTCAGTGACATTGGCTGTGATGCCCGAAAGCAGAGTTTCATGACTAGGCGTGTCTGTCAAACAATGGATTTTATGTTCTTTATGGAATGTATTCTGGCCTTGGAGATATGCAGGTGGAATACGCTTAAAAGTCCTGTTATTTTTCAAGAGAGCCCCATTTGCCCATACATATTTCATTAAGGCTGAGTCCTAGTAGTGCAAGCTACTGACCATTCCTGAGCAATCTGCCTTAACAGCAATACAGCAAAGCTAGGGAAAACAATTCTTAGCATCTAACAGCTTTCTAATAATTCTGGCCCTACAAACCCTAAAACAAAACCAGGAGGACATTCTTCAAAATAGTCTTTTTAAACTAAAGAGAAATAATGAGAGAGGATCTGCTGCAACCTTTTACTGAAAGCTTTACTCCTGCAAAACTTCCTCTGACACTACTTAAATCAGACTTTGTTAGAATTGAACAGAGGCATGGACCTGGAATAGTTCCTGAAATTATTTAGCAATGTTGTGCCTGGTTTTCCAGTCTTCTCTCACTTTACTTCCCTGTCAACACTGGTGGGAAAGAGCAGGGAATCAATCCAAATAATTACTTTTGAAAATATTACTTTCAAGTTTTAAGCTGCACACATGAAAGTTTTGAACAGAAATAAAGCACAATACAGAAAATAAAGATTACAAAAGGTGGTAGAAACAAAGGATCATTTAAGTATAATTCCTCTCTGAAGATTCCTAATTTGAAATACAGAACAAATGGCAGAAAAGCCCAGTGACATTTCAGAATGTTTACTCAGACAGAAAAAATAGCCATAAAACAACCAACAAAATGCCCATATAATTAATCTATAGCAGTTTTAATAGATTTTCTTTAATAGTTTCAAATTTATTTTAAATATATATTAGCAAATTAACCACCATTTTATTTAAAATTAGGTAAAGTTCTCATTCTGTTAATGATAACAAAACTTGATTTTAGCAAGACAAACTAGCTGGAGCCTACTCTGCAAGAACAGAAAAGGGCAGCTTAGCTTTCATTTGCAAAGAGAAAAGAAATGTGTAGGTTTCTTCACAGCCCATATTATAGTACCAGAAATTGCATTTTTTTCTTTAAGAAATATATCCTTTAGAATATTAAAAAAATAAGTTTAATAAAGCCTGTGCTTAAAACAGCCAAAGTACTGTATGAAAAAAAATTGCACATTTGATACCATTAAAACCCTGGTTTTCATCCATAGGGTAATATGAGGAGTATGTGATGTTATTGGAAGGTCTCTCGAACAGGGCTGATTTTCCTAAGCTATCAGAGCTTCTCCCAGCCAGGTGAAATTTTCAGTGAATGTACGGCGGTTGTCATGGCAGCTGCCAGCCATCACACACCACTAACCTTTTCGTTGCCTGGGCTGATACTTCCCTTGGAGGTACCATCCAAGTGATGTATTCCTATTGTGACCATTGAGTAATCCTTAGCCATCATTTTTGCCTCCTTTTTCAAACTCTTCATTTGTGCTAGCTGGAGCTGGCTGGAATCATATGCAAGTGCCGGGATAGTGTTCACTAAAATCAGCTGGAAAGGTTTCTTCTCCTCCTTGTAGCGACACTGAATGTAACGAGAGAAAGCTGAGCGGTAGGTTTTATTGAACAGTGTATATACGAGTGGGTTGACAGCTGAAGAAAGGTAACCAATCCAAACAAATATGTTAAGAAGTCCTCCAATGACTTCTTCATTGCATGACTCCTTGCAAATTACAGCCATCACATTGGTGATGAAAAATGGACACCACATCACAACAAACAGAAAGAAGACAATTCCAAGAACCTTGGAAGCCTTCTGCTCGTTGCTGATGGATTGCATGGTTCTTCTCCCAGAAGTCCCCACATCTCTGTTCAAGGAGCGTTGAAAGAGTTTTTCTGAGGACAGGGAACTCTGAGGGAGGAAGCTAAATGAAGCAAACTTGGTCTTTGGGCCGATGTCATTCACACATAGCATAGCTTCCTTCTGCAGTGACTTGATGGTTAAAAAGTAAGTGACTACCATGATGGTTAGAGGGATGAAGAATGCCACAAAAGAGCCTACTAGAACAAAATTCTCATCTGCAAGTAAGCAGCTGCAATTCTTAAACACTTTGGATTTATCCTGTAGTCCAAAGACGGGTATAGGCATGGAGATACCTGAAGGTGGATGAGAGAAAGAAGAGATTAAACATAATAATGAAAAACAACATTGCCCATCTCCAAGAATAAAATAAACAAAGATTGACCTGTGTTCTACCTGTGGCTAAGGTGATCTTAGCTATATGCATATTACCTCAGCCACAGGCAGAATACATTTGTTGACATCCAGCTGTCACATGACACATGGTAGCCACAAAAGCATCACTCCTTAAATTCTTGGATCTTGTCCCCTTTTCTAATGATCTCTAGACTTACTCCTTAGTTCCTGCCACCTTTGTAAAGGCTTTTATGAACCATGATCAAGATGATACTGTCTTTCTTTTCTGAAGTGGCTTAAGAGTTTCACAGTAGAGAATTAGAAGTGTTCTGGTACTGGTTTCTGTGTAGGCTGGGAAATTCTGGTGTTAGGAGGAAAGATAATGTTTTATAGTAGGTCTAAGACTAATCTTTCATTGGGTCTTTCCCTTCTCTTCCTGTAATGTCCGTACAGTCAACGTAGTCTAAATGCTAAAAAAAACTTTCCATGGCAATGCAAATGGCAATGACCAATGGGAACAAATTAAGCCCTGAGAGACACCAAAATGAGGCAGCCTGAGATGTGGTTTACCCTTCAGAACTGCAAAGGTCCTTTCATAGCATTGCCAAATGCTAGAGTTTTCTCTCTCAATGCACGGCCATGCAAACTTTGCCTTTCCCTGGAGCATGTGCAGCATCCTTGCCTTTCCTTACTCATGAATGGAAAGGCAAGGGCATAAAGTCCATTCTGCTTGGAATGCTCTGTCTGATTCAACCTACTCAGCCATTTCCTTGGGGACTTCTGCAAATGCTGCTAATGTCTGAGCAAAATCAAACAGCTGCTGTTACTTTAGTTGTTGGTTTTGTTGTTTTGGTTTTTTTTTTCAGCACTTGTCTCTTCCCCTCCATGCTGTCTCTTTAAGAGGCAATGTTCAGACAGTGAAAGGGATGATGTGCTGTGAAGACAGAAGCGGAGCTGTGAAGCAGGGGGTGATAACGCAGCCCTGTTTGGATAAAAGCAGCTAGGAGTCTGATTCCTGGGGAAAGTTAGCACAATCTGGGAGCTTCGGTCCTATTTGCATTTTTAAACAGAAATCCCAGTGGCTATATTTGGTTTATGAGGAAGAAAAACATTAAGTAGAGAAGAATTTCTTATGATGTCAGGAGGATGATGTGCCTTACTTTGTTCAGTGTATGCCCAAGAATGTCCCTACTGGTTCACAGATGAGCCCTGAAACATCAGCTTTTCAATGGTACCTTCCTCTACCTCTCTTTTCCTTCTTCCCACTCTGGTGCTTAGACTGAGAGCCCTTTAAAAGCATAGGCTATCTCTTCATTTCACACACTTCCAGTGCCCCGCATAACACCTCCAGTCCTAGAGGAAGGCTGTGGAGTACAGGCTCAACACAAAACAATAATTTAATAACAGTAATAATAATATTAGACTATTATTCTCTTCAAATGCTTCAGTCTTTTGGTGCTTCCAGAACTTCTGCAAAGATCTTTATTTTTCCAAGAACACTGTAGCTTGGTTTATCTTTTCAACTTTGAACTGAGTCATGGCAATGTCTCAGGCCAGTTTAGAAAATGCTACTCTTATCTGTCCAGGGCAGAAGCTGATGGACAGCCTGTGGTATTACCCTTTCTGCTCCTGCTGCACAACATCTAAATGCTTGAACTTGGGCTAGGAGAAACCAGTGGCTAATATACAAACTTGTGTAGTGTGTGGCACTGCCTGAGTTGAGCTGACAGAAACTTCAAGTGACTCCAGGAAAGCTTCTGGCTAAAAAGGTCAGATCAGTCCGACTGACAGCATGGAGAAAGAGGTCACCTGCAGAAGCCAGACTGCCCAGCTGCAGCTGAGTAATCTGTGGTGCTGAGCACCTCCAAGGACATGAGGAGTGCTTTGAAGTTCCTTTTCTTTTTTAGGATGTGTTGAAGGGGTGATGAAGGCACACAGTGCCTTCCAGCATTACATTTCAGCTGCATGAAGACACAGCATTAGTCAGAGCAATACCATAAGTTTCCTGTCTGCTTCTGCCCTGTGCTGATAACAGCAAGGCTGTTTTTATATTTCATTCAAAGACCTAGTGTGAGCTGCAGAGATAAAATAAACAATCGTATTGACAGAGTTAAAAGATGCCTTTCATTATTACCTTGTGGTTCAGCTGCATGAGGAGGCATGAGTGAGGAGGCAGCAGCACTAGAAAGAGGAAAATTTTAGCATAATTGCACGCTTTTTCAAGTAAAGGGCCTAAGTCAGTTACAACTCCTCACCGGAAACACAAGAGCAGCAATTTCCCAACTGCTTTGTTTTGTTGTTGGCAGCTTCTGGAGACTGGCATCTAAACCCACATTTCTGGCTTTAAAAAATGAAAATGAGCTTCAGCTTGCAGCTGAAGTTTCCATGTTTTCTTGTCATTCCATTAACAAGCACAAAAGTGCTGCACCCAGCAGAACTGTGGAAGGCACCACTAGTCATGTAAATTTTTCTGAATGACCATTCAAGGCATCTTTCCCCTACAGCCACAGGTAAGAGGACTGTATAGTTTGAAAACAGCAGAGGTACCACATTTCAGTGGCAGAGAACACTGACAGCTGTAGACTGCTTTTTGTATACTCCCCAGTTCAGCTGATGTAGGAGATCCCACAAATTATATCGTGGCATTCCTGCATGGAATAAATAAACTTCCAGCCCATTTTTTCTCTTTTCCTGTCTCTACAGAGACTAAACTTACTGCTCCTTTCCTGAAAGGAGTAGAGTTTGCTCCTCTTCAAAAGAGACCTTTTGGCTTCTGCAGCATGAGGATAGCAAATCTCACGAGGACAGAGGGATCAAATTCAAAGGCAGTCATGTTTAAACTGTAAATAAAGGAGCTTCCATGTGCAATCCACATGCCCTATTTTGATAGAATTTTTAGGAAGCATCACATATGGCCAAGAATATCACCCACAAGTTATTGAGGTTTGGTCAAGAACAAGTTTGTCCCTTAAATCTGTTACAAAAAGTCCTGGTATAAGTTGCATAAGTGTTGTTGCAGCTGACTGAATGAATTGTTTAAAAGTTGAAACTCAGTGAGCTATTTCATCTTGATGATTCAGAAGTACAATTCCTTGCTGGTTTATGGTCGTTGCTTTCCAACTCCCTGCTCTTGGTGACTGTGGATGTTTAAGAAGATATAGATGGTGCCTGTGCATTCAAATGTCTTTAGAAGGAAATCAGCTTCACAAGAAAGGGTCATGCAGAGCTACCAGGTAGGGACAAACATGTATTTGGGAAATGGAGCATGTGCAAACAGTAGATCTGGATGAAACAACCTGATAGGGCTGTAACAGAACAGCTATTCCACACACTGCCCATTCCATGTTTCTGGCTCTCACCAGCCCAAGGTCAGTCTAGAAAAAAATCTTGTTATCCCCTGAGGGTTTTTTTATGATTTATCCTTCTTGGCTTCCAAAACAAACTAAACTGAGGCACGAGGAAGCATTCAGCACAGAATGGGAGCATCCATTCAAGCCTGAAGGTACATTAGACACTCCATTTCCAGATGACATTCCCACTTAGAACATTTTCCCTTGTGGACAAACCCTAAATATTATGTTCCTCTGGTACAAGGTGCTTTATTTATACGGCTTGATTTATTCAAGGTGGCTGTCTCAAACTAGGGATTTTAATAAACCACATAACATATCCCAAACAGTAAAGACCAGTAATAAATCCTGCATTAAAGCTCAAGAATTTGGGCACAGTTTCAGAATGACAAAAGGCTCTTGAAAACACCAAAGGTTTAGAATTAAAGCAATGGCATCCTTCTTTTTGTTCTCTCAAAAAGCCTGGTAAAATTGACAGAGGTTGATTTAGTGGTACACATTCCTGACTTCAGAGGTACACAACAGCCATAAAACCACTTTAGCTGGACAGGTAAACTGGGTTTGCAGCTGCCTTGAGCTGCTGAGACTATCAATAAATTAAAGCTAGAATTTACAATATACCCTGCAGGATGGCACACTTGTGTTACTTAGAGTGAACTGATAAGGTCAAGGTTCCTTCTGTGAAGTTTCCTTCAAGCAGAAACTGCCAGTCACATGCTTTCACCTCACATATATCCATTTCAAATGATTTTAATACAAATGAGCATGACCATGTGCCTTAACAAATGTCCAAGGGATAGAAATTACCTTCTTGAAATGTCATTATAGTTTCTCAGCACTTTGGTTCACCCTCTCATGAAAAAGAAAAAAACCTCCCTATCTGAAGTTTTAGCAGTCACATTGATTCAAACATAACAGTTACAAGGCCGGCTCATGGGCCACTGCACAGAGATGTGCTGTGACACTGAATCTGAAATGATTTCTGCTTGGAGAAAGCCAGTCTCTCCTTCAAGCAACTCAGTGCAGCAATACTGTCTAATTTCTTTAGAAAAGCCCATGCCCAGTATCTGATGCCTTTTTGTACTCAGAAAATGACATCTTTTGGTACATCTGCACATTCAAACAACAAACAGTTGTCCATGTACACTCACCTGCTATATCCCAAATCGTACAAGGCAAACTCTCAATTTCATGTTGTATAAAAATTTCCTTGTTGCACACTGCCATCACATTATTTTCGATATTTTTTACTTAAATAACCATACAAAATAGTATTTGTTTATTCGGGCTAACATGGTACACTTTAGCTTGCTCTGGGAACACAAGCCAGAGTCAGCCATTTGCAGGGGGAGGACCATGGACCACGTCCTTCCCTGAGTATCCAGGATGTAAATATGTGTGAATCTTATATCAGGAGCTGGAGTTTAGCCACAGCTACTTTCATTTAAACATCTGCAGAAGAGTCACAGAGTCTGGCCTTGTGTCTCTGCATGGTGTTTGGCATTCACTAGTGTAGGAGGAGTCATTTCCCCAGAGCTGCATACACTTAGCTGTTTTTTCTGCATGCACCTGAAAATGTTCCCAATTGATTCCTTTCCAGTCATGGCAAA